AGCAATAATTATATTGTACTTAAATAGTTTTCTAAATCTCTGTGGTAACTTGAAACTTTAAAGTTTTGCTAGCTAACTGAAATAATGAATATTCATTGACTGTCTAGGGAATTTCAAATAAGGTAAAATAATAAAACACTAATTACTGAACATGGGGTTACCTACTTTCTGCTTATTACAGAGAAACTAAATATATTTGGGTTCATTAGTAAACTTGTCTTGTACCACATTAAAAAATTGTGCTGGGAGGAAATATACAGGCTGTTCCCCCAAAATGTATACACACTGTAACAGCTGATAGCTGTAAAAAGAAAAGGGTTCTGCCCTGACTGGGGACTGAGGGGTTTAATTCTGGTCAAAGGCATGTACCTTTGTTGTAGGCACAACCCCAGTAGAAGGTGTACAAGAGGCAGCTGATCAATGTTTCTCTCTCATCGATGTTTCTAGCTCTCTATTTCTCTCCCTCTCCCTTTCTCTCTGTAAAAAATCAATAAAAAAAATTTTTTTAAAGAAAAGGGTTCCATGGCCACTTTGATGTATTTTTATTCTTTTAATATATATTTTATTGATTTCGGAGAGGAAGGGAGAGGGAGAGATAGAAACATCAATGATGAGAGATAATCATTGATCGGCTGCCTCCTGCACGCCCCCTACTGGGTATGGAGTCAGAAATCCGGGCTTGTGCCCTTGACCAGAATCAAACCCAGGACCCTTCAATCCACAGGCCGACACTCTATCCACTTAGCCACACTGGCTAGGGCCCATGGCTGCTTTGGCTCAGTGGTTACAGTGTTGGCTGGAGGAACAAAGGGTCTCATGTTTGGTCAGTCATGTGCAGGAGGCAGCCAATCAATGATTCTCTTTCATCATTGATGTTTCTCTCTCTCACTTTCCTTTCTTCACTAAAATCAAATTTTTTAAAACATTTTAAAAAAATAAATAAACTGGATGATTTCTAAAACTCTGTAAGGAATAACTGCACTCATGAACTGCTGGCAAAGGATCCAGATAGATAAGAATTAATTATATGGGACTGAATGAACTGAGGATTATTATTTTTATAACTTTTTGTTGGGAATATTGCTAATCTTTAATCTTTTGCTTTCCAGATATAAGGAAACTTGTTTTCTCAAACTACCTAAGATTTAGAGCAATTTGGTAAATTGTGCCTTTGTGAGCAATATTGAGACATTTCTATTTTATCTCCCGATTTCTCTAAAAGTTAAAAGACTCTGAATGAGTATTATTATTTTCATGGCAATTTTGTAGTTTGCATAAATGTGATAGGCATATATTGTTTTTATTCTAGTACACAACTGGAAATTGGTTTATTACCAAGACTTTGACTAAACATCATGTTTGAGAGAAACATGAATAGACTCTGGATGTCACCAGAAAACTTTAGGGAATTAAGATTGATTTTGGAAGCAAATAAATGTCCCTTGGAGAAATGGCCTGGTACTTACATGCTTCACAGCAGCTATTCAGTAAGGAATGAAGGCTGCTTTCCTGGGAGAAGGCAAAGAAAAAGCCTCAGACATTTTGAGGAACCTTGAATATCTGAGAATTCACTCAAAACGATAGGTATTTCAGCCCTAGCTGGTTTGGCTCAGTGGATAGAGCACTGGCCACAGGCTGAAAGGTCCCGGGTTCGATTCTAGTCAAGGGCACATACCCAGGTTGCGGGCTCCATCCCCAGTAGGGGGCATGCAGGTCAATGATTTTCTCTCATCATTAATATATCTCTCTCCTTATCCCTTCCTCTCAGAAATCAATAAAAAAATATATTAAAAAAAAAAACCTGATAGGTATTTCAGGCAAATGCTGATGGAAACTATGTGGAAGCTAATTAAAGTTCAGCCTGGAAATTCCTCATGAAGTTCCAGCAATGCAGATTTTAAAGAGCCTATATGATCAATTCCTATTCTGGTCATACTTATGCAAATAACAGACCAAATTTGTTGAAACTAAACTTACACAATAAATTAGTCTTAACTTGGCTCTCTTTGATAAAATGAGGGTGATTTTAGAGGGGAAAATTATTTCAATGGAAACCATATTGACCAAGTATAGATACTGGTTTCTAGTTTAGTTAATTGTCTTTAAAATCTTATTTTCACCTATAGACTGGACTGGATCCTAATCATCTATACTTAATAAAAGTCTAGGTGGCCCTTGCGTGCGATGTCACAAGATGGCCACCACAAGATGGCCACACACATAGCAGAGGTGGGACCTGGTGGCCACTCTGTGAGGTGAGTCCTGAGGATTCTGCAGCTCCATGTGATCTTGAAGAGGCTGGTCCTGGTGTCTCCACTGCCTTGCTCGGAGGGGGTGGCTTGAGGCAGGGGAGGGAAGTTGTGGGAGATCAGGCCAGCAGGGGAGGGCAGTTGAGGGCAATCTGGCTGGCAGGGGAGGGCAGTTAGGCATCAGTCAGGCTGGCAGGGAAGCAGTTAAGGTTCAATCAGGCTGGCAGGCAGGAGAGTGGTTAGGAGCCAGTGATCCTGGATTACCATTGGGATGTCCCAGATTGGAGAGAGTACAAGCTGGGCTGAGGGCCCCCCCTCCCCACACCATGCACGAATTGCACCAGGCCACTAGTTTTCTAATAAAAAGATTTGGCTAAAGCCCTCTGAACTAGTGTTCCATTTTTCTCCCATTCACCTTTTGCCTTGGAATTATTGACAACTAAAACTGTTTTTGTTTTTTCTTTTTTCTGACCCTGCAATTGTAGACCCCAGCCAGAGCACATGAATGTAAGTGTCAGAGAAGTCATCACAACAACTCATGCTTAGACAGTTCTGGAAACTGACGCTGTGTAAGCCACTCAGAGCTTGGTTGAGCTGGTGTCAGAATGTTCATCAGGGCTGTTTGGACTTCAGATCAGGAGAATCTGTTGGATTGTCATGCTTGTCTTCATTCCAGCAAAACTGAAGCTCTTAGCCTTTTATCTCCTGTAGAGGTCTTCTCAACTGAGTCTTCAAGACTGAGACTAGCCCAGCCTGCATGGCTCAGTGGATGAGGGTCGACCAGAAACTAGGAGGTCACGGTTCAACTCTGAGTCAGGGCACATGCCCAGGTTGCTAGCTCCATCCCCAGTAGGGGGTGTGTAGGAGGCAGCCGATCCACAATTCTCTGTCATCATTGATGTTTCTATCTCCTTCTCCCTTCCTCTATGAAATCAATTAAAATATATTTTAAAGGTTCACAGACTATGGTTTGCTATGATTATTACTTATGGTACTGGCATTCTGGCCTACTTCTTTTCCCATTTCTGTGGTCCTTGCTTGTAAATTGAGCATCTACAATACCCCCTCTAAGGCTCAGGGACCATAGCAGAAGAGGTGTGTGAGATTGTAAGAGTGAGATAAGAGGGGCATGATGGATAGACAATGCAGTGCCTCTCAGAGGACTTGGATGATGTAGCCACCATGGCTTGCCTAACTCCCAGCAGCTGCTATATATATATATATATATATACTGAGTGGCCAGGTGACAGTGATCTCTGAATGCATAATAATCTGGCCACTCAGTGTATATCCTATATAATAAAAGTCTAATATGCAAATTGCCCCCTCGACCAGGAGTTCAACCAGCAGGCAAACCAGCCAACCACCCATGTCTCCTCCCCCTGGCTAGGCTGGCTGGATCCCACCCATGCATGAATTCATACTATATATATATATATATATATATATATATATATATATATGATTTTTATTATTATATATTATGATTCATTCAGAGATCATAATAATCTGGCCTCTCAGTGTATACACTATATATATATATATATATATATATATATATATATATATATATATATATGTATGTATTTCAGAGAGGAAGGGAGAGGAAGAGAGAGATAGAAACATCAATGATGAAAGAGAATCATTGATCAACTGCCTCTGAATGCCCCTACTGGGGATTAAGCCTGCAACCCAGGTATGTACCCTTGATCAGAATCAAACCAAGACCCTTCAGTCTGCAGGCCAACACTCTATCCACTGAGCCAAATGGGCTAGAACAATGGCATTTGCCATTGTTGCAGGGGAATGCAACAATGGGGGGCTGGCACTGGCCACACCCCTCAGAGATGTGTAGGGGGCTGGCTCCGAGGGCTCTGGAGCCCTCACCCCTCATCAGTCCTGCCTTCCTGATTTTAAGAACCCTTTCTCGCCCACTGGCCCAGAGCCTGACCCCCATGGCAGGTAGGGATGGTCAACTGGCTACATGAGATCCTCCCCAGCTGCCCTCAGCAGGCTGCAGGGAGGCAGCTGCGGTGGCGATAGCCCCTGGCTAGTGGAGCTGCAGGGCCAGCAGAGAGAAGGCATGCCCAGGGCAGCCACTGTGCCCCCCTTGGGAAAGTTCTAGGTGCTAGAATGTTCTTCCTTAGGCTGCATGAGATCTCCCTGGGGCTAACGTCCCTGCCAGGCCCAGGAGGGAAGCAGTTAGGATCCAGAGTCTCAGAAAAGACATAAAGATGAAGAGAGAGAAAACACAGCAGCAACAGTAGAACAAGCAAGTGAGCAGGAGTCAGTGCCCATGCAAAACAGCTATAACTGCCTCAGTTCGGCCTTGGCCCTGGGTTCTAGCTCCAGCATCCTCCCCCCCCACTCCCACCCCAGAGCCTCTAGAGTGCTACAGAGTGTGATTGGCCTTGCACACGGATCAACAACACATGTGTGCCTGTGCAGGGGACTGACATCCCTCTCGGGGAGATGCCACTCACCCACAGGAGCCCGGATGACCAGGGAGGCTGGTGGCACAGCCGGGCAGATTGTACCAAGGCACCCAGTGGCCAGCCAGGCAGGCAGCCTTCCCAGAGGGGGCCTAGCTATATGCTGCCCTGATGAACTTGACCCACGTGCCCCGGGGACAGGCCCAGGGCCCTGAGGAATTTCAGAGAAGAAAATGCACTAACACTTGAGTTTGTGAGGCAGGGGTGTGAGACAACCACTTTATTCACAGCCCCGGGGCAGCCATCGGGGACCTGCTGCCTAGGGGTCGCTGTCAGAGGAGCTGGGGGTCTCCCACTCCGTCTCAGACTCGGGCTGTGTCTGTGCTTGTGACTCAGACCCGGACCTGGACGACGACGAGGCGGCCCGCTTGCCTTGGGAGGTGCTGGCAGCAACCCCGAAGGCTTTCTTCTGCCTGCAGGCCGCGACATACTCCTTCAGCTCCCACAGCGTGCCCAGCTTCAGGGAGTCCAAGTTCACTTCCATCTTGTTGTTCCTGATCTTCTTGAGCTTGGGCTCCCGGGAGCGGAGGATGCGGACCATGCCGCCCAGCTGCTTCTCGGGGAGCTGGCCGAGGTCCCGGGTGAGCAGGCACTTGTCCTTGTAGGTCATGAACCTGATCCGGTCCCTGGATGCCAGGTCGGCCGCCATGGTCTTGTGCTGCTGGGGGACCAGGGTCTGCTTGTGCCAGGGATCCTGCCGCCTCTCAGAGGCCCGGCTGGCGCTGCTGGTGCTGGTGCCGCTGGCCTTGGTGCTGGTGGAAGACAGCTCCTTGGCCTTGCTTTTGGCCTTGGACGCGGCTTCCTTTCTCTTGGCCTCCACCCTCCTCTCCTGCCTTTTTCTCTCCTTCTTCTCCGCCCGGCCCTTCTGGGCCTGCGTCGCCGCCCCCAGCTGCATCCGGATGACCTTGAACTGCCTGCGCATCTCCAGCACTTCGGGCGCCAGCTCCTTCCTGGGCCTGCTGGTGGAGGGCCTCTCCCGGCCACCGCTGCTGGCCGAGGGCATGGCCTCCTCGGGGTTCAGAGAAGACAGGTCGTGGAGGAAGGGGAAGGTCATATCGTGCTCACTGGAGTCCTCCCGCATCTTCGCAAGCTTCATCCGGAAGAGGTCCCCCAGGCTCTCAGCCATGGCCCTCGTGGTCCGTGGGGTGGTCCGGGTAGCCCTAAGCCGGCATCAACGGGAAGTGGGCGCCGGATGCCTAAGCGTCGCGATACCTCCTGGCCTCTAGTTTACACCTGATTGTGTTCGTCTCCATGGGATACCTGATGACGTCACAAGATGGGTGCAGTCCCCGTCTTCCCTCTCCTTCTCCTCCCCCTCCCCCCCTCCGCTGATGATGCGGGTGCTGCTGGGCGTCAGGTACCTCCTCCTTTGGGGGCTTCCATGGGATACCTGATGATGTCACAAGATGGGTGCAGCACACCCCCCCTCCCCCATCATGCTTCCCGGGACTGCTGCTCTCCTGCTGGGGGCCCAGTTTGCTGGGCTTGGGTTCCAGGATTTAGCAAAGGTTGGGTCGATGGTTGTGCAGGAGGTGGTGTAACACCCTTCTTTGCAGTCACAGCCTGTGGGGTGGCTGCAGTGATGGGCGTGTGGCTTCGCATGGGTCGGATCGGCCATGAGTGGGCTGAGGGCTGGGGGGTCACCAGCGGGGGAATCTGCAGTTGCTGGGGAGACTCCACTGGCACGACGGAGCTCTGGACAGTGAGGCTTTGGTGGCGGCAGAGCAGGGGTGAGGGGTGCCCTGCGCAGGCAGAAGGTTCTGCTGAGAGGCCTGCATCTGTGCCAGAGTCAATGTTTATGTTTGGTACCCTGGAGACGCCAGGTTTTGCCTTCCCTGCTTCTTTTCTCCCATGTCCATTTTGAGTTTGATGGTAAGTTGGTGGTCTAGTTTCATTCTTTTGCATGTATCCGTCCAATTTTCCCAGCACCATTTATTGAAGAGACTGTCTTGACTCCATTGTGTGCTCTTGCCTCCTTTGTCAAATATTAATTGAGCATAGTGGCTTGGGTCAATTTCTGGGCTCTCCGTTATGTTCCATTGATTGAAATGTCTGTTCTTCAAAACCAGGCTGTTTTGAGAATAGTGGCTTTGTAGTATAGTTTGCACTACCGGTGCACGAAATTCCTGCACTGGGGGGGGGGGGAGAGTCTCCTCAGCCTGGCCTGCGCTCTGTCACAGTCCAGGAACCCTTAGACATCCTCAGTGCTGCCTGCCACCGCTGCTGCACTCTGCTAGCCAGTAGAGAGCCGGCTCAGAGCTTCTGGCTGAGAGCAATATCCATGTGGAAATACACTGACCACCAGGGGGCAGCTCCTGTGTTGAGCGTCTGCCCCCTGGTGGTCATAACAACCAGTTGTTCTGCCATTCAGTCGATTTGCATATTAGCCTTTTATTATATAGGATAATGTGGTATGTGATCCCCCCAACTTTGTTCTTCTTTCTCAGGATTGCCACGACTACTCAGGGTCTTTTTTCCATTCCATATAAATTTTTGGAGTATTTGTTCTAGATCAGTGAAATATGCTGCTGGTATTTTAATAGGGTTTGCATTGCATCTATAGATTGCTTTGGGTATTATGGACATTTGAATGATCCTGATTCTACCAATCCATGAACACGGTATATTCTTCCACTTCTCTGTATCTCTCTCTATCTCTTTTCATAATATCCTGTAGTTTTCTGAATACAAGTCTTTTACTTTTTACCTCCTTGGTTAGGTGTATTGCTAAGTATCTTAACTTGTTGGTTGCAATGGTAAATGGGATTGTTGTTTAGTCTCTCTTTCTGAGAATTCATCATTGGTGTATAAAAATGCTATCGATTTCTGGTTGCTTTGAGAGTACATCTCTTGCAAAGTTTAAGACCCTTCATTCAGTGTGGAAACATCCAGAGCATCAGGCTATTAAAAGCAAACAAGCAAGCAAACAAACATTAAAGACCTATCTCTCCAGCAAGCTGCTGTGTCCTAATCATCTGGAGGGCCAGGAGTTAAAGAAAATGCTGCCCCACCCAAAGTGGGCAGCCAATTCCCTTCTGGATTTGAACCCTTCCCCAAATTGCTGAGTGTGTGACTTTTTAAAATATATTTTTATTGATTTCAGAGAGGAAGGGAGAAGGAGAGAGAGATAGAAACATCAATGATGAGAGAGAATCATTGATCAGCTGCCCTCCTGCACACCCTACAATGGGAGTCGAGCCCTCAATCCTGGCATGTGCCCTTTATGAGAATCGAACCTGGGACTCTTTAGTCCACAGGCCGACGCTCTATCCACTGAGCCACACCAGCTAGGGCATTCTCACCAGATTTTTATTTCTTTGCATATGATGCTGAAAAAGCCCCACAGAATTCAATTATAAGCAGAGCTTTTGTGTTGCTTTGCTTGCAGCACATGAAGTCAGATGGTTTGGTTGTTTCCCATGGATTTTTCTGGAAATACATCAAGGTGTGGATTGGTGTCAAGCTGAACCTGCTCCAGGTACCTCTCACTTTGCCAGGCTATATGGTAACCCATCAAGTCACCACCAGTGAATAAGACTTCTCTCTGCTGATAGTATGATGTCTGTTACAACCAACAAGCTGTCATCAGACCTTGCTCTTCATGTGTGTGCAGCATATTTGCTAAGCACTGAGTCGGACTTGACACTTAAGTGGTTTCACCTCACTGCAAAGCAAAATCACCATTTTGTGTGTGATATTATTTTTGCCAGTAGCAAATCTGCTTTCAATTTGAGTGTAATACATATGTGATCAATTTTGAGTTTGTTTTTCCAAGCTTCCAGAGTAATGTGATTTATGTGCGTGTTGAGAAGGGCAACTTTGCATCATGCCTCTTTAGTTGTAAAATTAATAATTTACATAATAGGAAGCATTCTTGTATGCATGCTTTGAATAAATGCAATACATTCACCCAAGAGTTCCCTCTGTTTTACCTGAAAATGACAAAACTTTCCATGTCTTCAACGCACTATTTAACAGTTACATAAAAGACTATGCCTTAGGTGGGGGGGGGGATTCAGAAACAGATCACAGGTCCAATAAAATCCAATTTTCAGATATTGTTCATTATACTCTCAGTTCAAACTTTTTTTTCTCAACGCTCGTCAGAAATCATCACTAGCAGATTCATTTGTACTGGCAATTACAGACTCATAGTGAAATTAAACTGGAGCCAGTTGTTTTTATTTAGGGCGTTATTTTAAGTTGGCGTTTTTATATAGTTATGTAGATGCCCACTGAAAGGAATAGCAGGTCCAATCAACAGATTTCTTCCTTCAACAGAGAATTACAAAGTTATTAAATAATTGTCTCTCTTTTTGGCAGGGAAGATATAGTCTAACTATATGTGATATGTTGCTTTCTATATTTCTATCTCTAATCCAATTCATATAAGAAATAATTCAGCCAAAACTGATTTGGCTCAGTGGATAGAGCGTCGGCCTGCAGACTGAAGGGTCCCAGGTTCAATTCTGGTCAAGGGCATGTACTTTGGTTGTGGGCACATCCCCAGTAGGGGGTGTGCAGGAGGCAGCTGATCAATGTTTCTCATCAATGTTTCTAGCTCTCTATCCCTCTCCCTTCCTCTCTGTAAAAAAAATCAATAATATATATATATATATATATATATATATTTTAAAGAAATAATTCAAATATCAACAGATAAACATTTATTTCTCTTTTCTCTAAAAATTATTATACTAATAATAGAGGCCTAGTACACAAATTTGTTGTGCAAAGGTGGGGTCCCTCGGCCTGGCTGGTGATGGGGGCCTATCGGGCCATCTCACCCAGTCCCAATAAGGGCAGGAGGTTGGCTGGCCCAGGGAGGTTGGCTCTGGGAGCACACTGACCACCAGTGGGCAGCTCCTGCATTGAGCGTCATAGCGACCAGTCTACCGGTCGTTCAGTTGACTGGTAGTAAAGATCACTTAGGCTTTTATATATATATAGATACCAATGAAAAAAAGTTGAAAAACAATAGGATTTTACATCAGAACTGATGTCGTATGTCATGCTGTTTTGCTTTTAATGCAAAAGGTGTTTGGTGTTTTCAATAAATGCAGACTGCCTAGTGACAACAGATGTAGTAATCATAGAAAACACTAAGATCCATTTTGTCACTGTGAGTTTTAGATTGTAAATAAATGAAAAAATTGCTATATTTGGCCACTGAGATGGCAATAGTAACACTTTGCTTATTAGGATACAGACTTTTATTCCTACCTGAAGGAAAAATGACATTAAAACTCAAACACAGTGACAAAATTCATATAACACTTTATGCCAATGCATGCAGAAATGTACACATAGCAATCACCATAACCCAAACAGCAGCTGAAAAATTTGGGAGTCAAGAGGCTGGAAGGCATTATAAAAGCCCATCCAAAATGAAGGTTGTTTTATAGTCTCACCTACTGAAAGGTGACTTAAGAATAGAGCATTTAAAAAAACAAGCAAACAACAGAGATGGCCCCTGCCCCAAGAGGACTAGAGTCTGAAAAATGTAAGCAGAGATGTCTCAGGAATCCTATGTAATAAAAGGGTAATATGCAAATTGGCCAAACAATGGAATGATAGGTTGCTATGACATGCACTGACCACCAGGGGGCAGACGCTCAATGCAGGAGCTGCCCCCTGATGGTCAGTGTGCTCTCAAAGGGGGAGTGCTACTTAGCCACAAGCCAGGCAGATAGCTGGTGAGCGGGCCTAAGCCATCAGTCAGACATCCCCTGAGGACTCCCAGACTGCTTGGGGGCAGGCTGGCCTGAGGGCCCCTCTAACCCCCAAGTGCATGAATATTGTGCACCAGGCCTCTAGTCATTAATATCAATTCCGAAAATTGAACTAAACCTTCTACCATTGTAAAAGATGACTTCTTTAATAGCAGTAGCTGATAATATAAGGCTTTTCAAAATTAACCTACATAGCCTGGTTGGTGTGGCTCAGTGGTTGAGTGTTGACCTATGAACCAGGAGGTCACAGTTTGATTCCTGGTCAGGACACATGCCCTGGGTTGCAGCTTGATCTCCAGTGTGGGGCATGAAAGAGGCAGCCGATCAATGACTCTCATCATTGATATTTCTATCTCTCCCTCCTTTCCTCTCTGAAATCAATAAAATATTTAAA